CCCAAGGAAACTGTTCAATAAAAAGTAACAAATGTAGATACATAGAATGAAAGGGTAGTGCAGGAGAAACGTAGAGACGAGGAGTACAGAACAGTCATATATTGAATCATGACCAGTCAGTCTGAGTTAACAGTGGTAAGCTAATCTGAAAAGATGTGTCTTTAGGCCAGTCTTAAACAGGGAGAGAGAGGAGGTGTTACGTAATCAATATACTGTATGTCTCAGACTGTCCCCCATGACAAAACCTAAATGCTACAGGACTCAATAAGTGGGTTCAGTTCTAGGGGTGGGGTCACGGGGGCATTGGCCCCAGTTGAAATCTGACTGGTCCCAGAAGTGCCCCTGGCCTGTCACTCATGTCTTTTGCCCGAGAGCGGTGATGGTGGATGCAGTTCCACGTTCAACCACTAGTGGCGCTAATGAGTCAAATCAAGTCTACAGAACAATCCCACTGAAAAAGTCTTTCAGCTGACAAAATATGGGTGTATTTTCTCACATGCTGTGTGTTTGAAAGTATTTTATCTATTTACAGTAAAGATGCATGTAGAATTGGTAAAGAGAATTGTGAAAGCTTTTTCTTAGGTACATTATATTGCATTGCAAGTGTGGAAGTTGTGACTAGTTAAATGTATACGCCTTACTAAAATTATTACTAAGGCCTCAGTTTCTATTTGTTGCGTGCCATTACCTGCAACCACCCACATAGCAGACAGGTGAGGGCCAGGTCAAACTGGCTGACTGCTAACATGTGGTTTGTCAACCAGATGTGGGCCAGGCCAGGCAATGATGTCATTGTTGGCGTTCCACATCTGGCCCAGCTTTGGTTTGGTTTATGTGGTGCTGGTCCATGCATGGACCACTTTTGAGCACTAAAAGGCCGTCATTCTTTGCAGCATCAACTACGTACGGCAGCCACTTTGTGCCATTTTGGGGAGATTTTATTTTTCAGCATTTAAACATAAACTCTGACACAAGATGAACCTCAGTGTTTCTCATCAGGATACGATCGTTTTAGGTAACATGAATCTGCAGTTAGTCTGAATTCTTTAAAAGTAAACCGAAATGTTTTGTTAATAAAATAAAACAGCAGTTTGAGCAGCTTTTTCAGGCGTTTAGACAATTGTTTTATTGAATACAGACATTTTTAAAAAGCGAATACTTTGGAAAAGACATTTCATTGAATCTGCGTTCATATATTCTATTGTCAGAAAACAAACAAACATTTTGTCTAAAGAAAATGTAACTCTGATTCGTTTGTATTTAAACTTTTGATTTGTTCCAATTTTCCTCAAATAAATTAGGTTGAATCACTTAAGAGTTATTGTGTTATGACACAACTGCCTTTAAAATATTTTTATGCTTATTTGGTAATAAATTACAAATTCTTTATTTGTAAAACTTTGCATAAGCCTTTTTTTAAAGACCTGGAAAGTTATTGCAGCAATTTTGTAAAAAAAACAGACATTTACTCTTTTTAGCTCCTCTAAAAAAACAACTATAATAATATATATTGTTGAAGAACACTTGGATTGTATGTATTTCCATTGTCTGTTAGCAAAATATCTCCTGAATGACTGAATGGATTTTAATGAAAATTTCAGGAAAAAGTCACTGGATGAAAATCCACAGCTGATTAGCTCTTGGATTCGGTCCAATTTAAGATGGCTGCCACAGATAATTAACTTCAGAAAATACAAAAAAATGGTTCCAAATCAGTCAGTTTTACAAACATTTAGTTTAACCTTGGTGTGGTAGTAGCTGAGGGTTATTCTCAACAGACTCAAAGTATTAATTAGTGCGTAAAACCTTTAATCAAAACACTTAACCTCAACTTCTGGAGTCAAATCTGCCTGTTAGCAAAATATCCCATGAACCACTGAAGGCATTTTAATGACAAATTCAGAAATAAATGCCTGGATATACATCTACGAGTGATTCATGTTTGGAGTCAATCCCATTCTAGATGCATGCTACAGCTAACTGACAGTGGCCAACATCAACAAGGTGCTGAACCGGTCTTGTTAGCATATTTTGAGCTAAAATTTGACGTGGTAGTATCTGAGCGTAGGGAATTCCACATGAAAATCCCTGYAGCAGAAAAAGCTGTTTGACCCAAATAAGTTTTTTTTTAATGAACCCAACAGACTGTCTGCTCCTTAACTGAGCCTGCAGCTTTAAGAGGAACCTGTCATTTAAGCATATAAAACAAGATTTAAACTGGGGAATTTGGAAAAAAGTATTCAAAATTCATTTTGTTAAGTTTCTTCTTAAGATGACAGTGATGTGATCTAATGCGTTTTCTGCTCAAGATCTTAATTTCTGTTATAAATCACTGCTGWTTGAGACCAAGAGGCTGCACAATAAACTTAAATGAATAAAAATAAAATTTGAGTGCATAAAACTGTTGGCAGCATGAAAACATTAAAACTCTATATTTACTCTAAATGTGAGCAAATTAGCTTTTGCTGCTCTGCTCACCATCTTTTTGAAAATTTAAATGAGAATGTAAAAGAAACCTGGATATTTCTGACACATGATCAATATGTTGAC